TTAAGCCATGTCTCATGTAATGCTCACATTTTCTATTCTCTATGTCAAGAGGTCATGCCTACTGCTTACTAACAATGGTGTGAAATCATTAAAGTACCATTCATAACATGATGTGGATCCAGGATAAATTCCCTGATTTCTTCCACTGAAATTGTCATCTGATCCATCGAAAACTATTTTTACATACCCAAAATCTGAAAATAATAGTAAAGTTTAAGTTCTAAATAACTATCAATATCTGGAGTACACATTGAGATCCTGCTGCTTTGCTCATGACTGGAGTATTCAAAGCCAAGATAGAAGTCACATATTTCCTACAAAATTCCTAAAAGACATCTCCAAGTGATAAGAAGGTATGGCACTTCCAGCATGGAGAGTCTTCCTCTAAGCCCTTCCTTGTTCCCAGGGTGGCCTAATGGCCAAGCAGTGGATCAGGAAGAAACTGGCCCACCCTAGGCGCATGACTGATATAGTGTCTACTTCTGGATCCAGAGAAAGGATTTCTCTTTATAACAAAGGAAGTATCTTCTCTTCAGGTCTGTCTAAATGACATCAAAATCACAAAAGTGAAGAGAACAGATAAGTCAAAATAGTTCAGACTGTACTGCTCAGGGTGTATTAGAATCACTGTGGACACAGCAACTACTCTGGGAACTTCACTTAAGAAGATTTTCTTTCTAAAACTCCAGTCTAAAAGTGGACAGAAACTAGGTAGAGAGGCAGGTAGCCTAATATAATAAATCTGAGAAAGATGGATATGAAGGTATATACTGAGATCTCATGTTCTATTTTTTTGTTTGTTTGTTTCCCAGCTAACCTAAGTGAAGGCTTTTAAACTTGTTTTGGGGGCTCCAGCAGTCTAACTCACACTTACATCTGCCTTTATTTTGCTACCTTAGCTCTTGATGAGACGACAGGTCTAAAATCCTAAATAAAAGGATACTGCTGTTCTACAATCCAAGTCTCATAAAGATAAAGCATATGGAAACTAATAGAAAGTCCTTTACTTTGAGACTTCACCAAGATATGTTTAGAAAACCAATTTTTTGTTGAGAAACACACTTGAGATATTTTCTCCTAGGCATATTAAAAAATTTACTATAAAAAATTTCTGATATATACAAAATAAGCACAGTAGTATAATGAGACACTATGTCCCTATAGTCCAGTTTTGAAATTATCAACATTCAGCCACTCTTGTTCCATCTATACCTCTACCTACTCCCCACTCAATTGTTATTGTTGTATCTTACAGTTCTTAGTTTTTGAGGCAAAATCTACACACATTTTTGAGGCTAAAAAAAAATTATACCTTAAGTGTAAAATTTTGACAAAGAGATAAACCAGATTAACCCACACTCCTATTTGATATAGAGTGTTTTCATATCCCAGAAAAGTTTCATGTATCTACTCCCAGTCAATTTCCAACCACCACTCACTCACCAAAAGCAACCACTGTTCTGATCATTTGAGAACAAGTATTTAGATGTCCAGAAGATTCTCTAGAAGAAGATGGAGGGATGGTTGCAAGGATTATAAAGGAAAGAAATTCTATAAATTACTATATTTATTGTTTGCCCTCAATTTTTGCTAATCATAGCACCAATACATTATATGTGAGACATGAATATTTTGAAAAATGTGTATATATTTTTTTAAAACTTGTATATGAGTAGAAAAGGTAGAATGGAAGTTTTAGAAGAGAGGCAATTTAAAAAAACCAAGAGAGGTGAGAAGAGTAAGTCCCAACATTCCCTCTCCACCTTTGATTGTTTCTGGTGTCAGTGTATCCACTGTATACTTGTTCCTCAAGATATAGCCTGTCACCGGCCCCAGATTCTCAGACCCCACATCCCAAACTACTGGATGAGAATCTGCATTTTAACAAGATCTGAAGGTGATTTATATGCATATTTCATTTTGAGAAGTGTTGCTCTTCATCAAGTGTAATGTAACTGACATCCCAAAGGGATAAAAAATGGAAACTCCTTAAAACAAGATAGAACATGAAACAAGAATACACGTGGAATCAGCAAATAAGCTATGCAACATAAAGAAATTTCCTCTTGGCTCTATGACTGTGTAATGCATCAGTTATTTAAAAAAAGATGGAGAGCAAAAATAGAGAAACATTTTAAGTACCATTTTCTGTGTTTGGATAAGGTCAGTATAAAATATGGGGAAAGATGTTGTGACTGGCTCTTCTCAATGCCTTTTCATGTTCATCTGATGGCTTCTAGTGACCCTATGAACTGTCTAGATGGAGAGCAAAAATAGAGAAACATTTTAAGTACCATTTTCTGTGTTTGGATAAGGTCAGCATAAAATATGGGGAAAGATGTTGTGATTGGCTCTTCTCAATGCCTTTTCATGTTCATCTGATGGCTTCTAGTGACCCTATGAACTGTCTCATAAGCCCATATTAAACGCAACAAATTATACTTTTGTTTATCTTATTTGAATGATGCTCATTAAAATTTTATGTTATTCAATTGCTATCAAATTTTATGTGTCCTATTAATATTACATTAAATGATACTTTTGTAAAGAAAAGAAGCTAAAGGAAGCAGATGTGTGGTTTCTTAAAACGCAGCTATCATTAAAATTAAACAATTAGCAATATTTTGGAATAATTTCTCATATATTGTATAACACAATTGCAAAAGTGGTTTGTCAAGAGATCTAAATTTTCTTGCACAGACCCTGCTTAGAGCTAGGAACAAGTAGATATCAGGCATAGATTTATTGGAAAGAAAATAGTATGTAAAAATGAAGCAACTTTTTCATGTAAATCTATGACATTGAAAAGTAAAGAAGCCTCATATTTTTCAAAAAATATTAGCAAAAACCATAAATGCAGCTGTATCATTCTGATATTTTTACTGAAAGGAGGACACTTCATCTATTCTTCTAAATATTTATCTTAGCAAAAATTGTACCTAATTTTCAAATGCAAAAATCTCATTAAATGACTTCAGCAAAAATGAGATGAAATATTTTGAGATAAATGTTTATGAAAAATGCAACATAAAACATTGTATCTTGTGTGATTTATTTATAGTTAAAACACTGAATTGAGATTTTATGCTTCTGTCTCCATTTCTAAATGCTATAGATTTTCTTACACTCAAAAATTGCCTGAGATACATAATATTTTTTTGTGGTAAAAATCTTAATTAGATTTTTTTCCTAATATGTGAACATAATCATAAACATATATATTTTCAAAAACAAGACATGTAACATTTATCTAATTTTATTCTTTATTAATATTTATGTTATTTTTATTTTTAAAATCAGTCAATCAGATAAAGTTGTACTTCCCTGGAAATCAGTAAAATTCAATGAACCATACATATATCTACTCAAAATACATCAAATATACATCAAAAATACTCAAGAATACACCAAAATCAATGCTATTTTAAAAGTAAAATCTTTTCTTAAAGCACAAAAATGGAGAAACTGATCTTATATTATGTGTTTGTTGTCATTAATGTATTTTCAAATGTTTAAAAATTAAACCATTTAATATACGGTAAAATCAAGTATTTTGTGCATTCTATGCAAAAGAACTCATTTTCTGAAAATATCATTAGATAATGAATGACAGGAAAAAATGAGAGAATGCATAAAAAAATGAACACATTTTTCCCTCAACTACATTCATGATCTTATAATGCTATCTTAACC